TCAAAACTTCCACCACTGTCCGCACCACTGAGATCAACTTCAAAATCGGGGAGAGCTTTGAGGAGGAAACGGTGGATGGACGGAAGTGCAGGGTAGGAGGAGAACTGGGGCGCGTGTGCATGTGTGTTACCAAGTTCTTTTTAGATGGGACAAACACATCTGCTGCCGGTGTCCCCAGACAGTGGCATGGCTGTCCTCCACCCTCTTCTTCCCAGAAACACTCTTTGGTGGTTGCCGCTCCTCTTGTCCCTCATCTGACATTCTCCCTCTTGCAGGAAAACTGAAATCTGAAGGCAACAGAGCATGGCAGGTCCCAAAGGCAGAGTTCGAGTACCTGCTTGCGGGCTCCTTGACTGGCAGGGGTTTGTCCAGCCCTTTTTGCTTCCATCTCCCCTGGAGACTTCAGCTGCAGTGAAAGCTTTCCCCAGCCACTGTCCCTGATGGGAACATGGGGAACAGTGGAGCAAGAGAGACCTCAAGAGTCAGAATTTAGTGTACAAACCTGACGTAACTTTTGCCCTAAACTGAATAAGCTGAGTCCACAAGCAGGACCACAGGCCGTTGGTAGTTTGGGGCCGAAATCCTCTTTCATTCCCTTGCAAGTGCATGTCTCCTGTTTGCTGATCAGATAAGTCTTTAACAGTGTAAGACAGACTTTCAGCTAGTGTTATACCAGCCATAATTACACCATCTCCTTGTGCAGAAGTGCATTAGAGGGCGTTCACTGGAGTGTTTTGGGCTTGATTCTGTGTGTTAGCCCCTGCTCCTCTACCTTTGTAACCACTTCTATGGCTGTGGAGAGGGCTTTAAGTTGGCAGCATCTGACACCAGCTTCTCGCTGGTTTAGATATATGGGATCCAGGGTATTGGAGAACTGGGCTGTGATCATAGCTGTCTTTTGAAAAAAGTTATCAAAGGCATAGGTTAGTTATCCTTTCCTCAGGCACTTTACTCTTACACTTATAAGTGAAGTATGTATAAAACACTTATAAAAGAAGTATGAATGAGTATGTATGAGTAAGCTTCTAAGACCATTTGTACTACTAAAAATTCAGAACTTACTATCTCTGGTGCAATTGCTGTGAATTTGAATTTATGACAAAGGGAGCCAGATTCTGGGAGTCAGTGAACATTTAGAACATCCACTTGATCTCTAGGATGAGTTATCGTATATTTAACGGTTTGTTCAGGAAATGTTGCTGGCTTTGTTAATTTATCTTGTTCGGCAAAAGTAGTATTTTAGTGTCTTCATGCATAATGCATATACAATAAATGCAACCCGCTTTCTAGAGGAGGATTTATTGCTGCAGATGGAAAAACAATAATTATGGCTGTAAGCTATGAAAGTTGGAAAAATCTGAAAGAAATGTGTTTTGTGAAGTACTAAATTTTTTCCATGTGTTGTGAAATTATTTATAGTCTGCTCTCAGGAGTAAGTTGTACTGCTGTGTGTATATAACCAAGATGTGGCCACAGAGCAGAAACTGACAGATAATAAAAGAATACTTCATAATGTAATTTCCAGTATCTGGCAAAATAGCTGACTGCTGATAGATTTTGATACACTTTATGGGGTGGAGGGTTTTGTTCTGCCAACTAACTTCTTCCATTGTTCATACAGACAAAGAGTGAGTCATATGTAGTTGTACTGCAAGGCATAGCTTCTATAACTGCCATTTGAGATGGCTTGTTGGCTTAAAAAACCTATTGCTTTGAAAAAATATTTATAAGGTAAACAGCTAATTTTAAATCAAAGTAAAGTTTATTTTCCAATGGAAAGTCTGGGAAGTGTTAACTTGGAATTTATGCATACATATGCTCACAAACGTATACGTCTATGTGTATGTATATGTGTATAATCACAGACTAATGAATGTCTCCCATGTGCTAGTTACAAAGCGATTACTTGGACGTTCGTTACAGGGCATCCTTCTGCACAGCTGTTCCATTGCACTGTAGAATAATAGTTCAGCACTAGAATGAAAAGCAACAGTCAGGGCTTGGCTGTCTGTGGTTTCATAGTCATTACTGAAATGCTTTGAAAAATGCCCAAGGGTATTTCAATCTCCAGAACCACAAACTTAAAAAAGTAATATCACAAACACTAGAATTCTAACAAAGTTTCTTTAATTTAGTTGTGATTTATTTTAGTTTGTTAGCACAAGAAGTGTTTAATATACAGTTAACTTGGCACAATGCCATATAGCATGAAAGGTTGTAAGTGACTGCATTATTTATGTATATATTATTTATATACTGCATTATTTATGACCACAACATGATACATACGATTCCTTACTCTTTTACACTAAGGGGACTCTAATGGTAAATAACATCTCAGATCAAACAACATGTCTACAAAGATGCTTGGGAATGTAGACACTACATTATCACATGTTTCTAAATTATACTTTTCAAATGAATATGAAAATGAAAACCGGGTGACTTTTTAATTTGGAAACAAATGTGGATTTACACTGAAGAGACACATTTACAATTACTTTGTTATTAATATATACCTATTTCCAAAATGCCCCCTCACACCTTAATTTTGATTTCACTACTTTCCACTGATGTCTTTTTCCCTTTGCCTTTATCTATGTGTTGCTCCTTTACCACAGCAATTATTCTCACTACTGCTCATTGTTGTCTCTCTGCCTCATGCTGCTGGGGAATATAATTAATGTTATTCCTAATGGTTTTCCTGCCTGCAGAGTTTGGCCACTTGGGAGAATGAAAACAAGATCTATTGCAAACAAACTCTCATTGAGGGAGATGGCCCCAAAACATACTGGACTCGAGAATTGGCTAATGATGAGCTGATTTTGGTAAGAACCTTGAACCCACCCAATACATGCACCATATTAAGTTTTTCATTACCGTGTAGTATGAGTTACTATTTTTCCTTACTTAAATCCATCTGGAAAACTACCATTTTCATAAAATCCTCTACAGTACAATTCATACATCACTGTTTTCCTTTCTTTTTAAATGTTTTTTTTTAAGAACAAATGAAGATATAGGCAGGTTCTCACTTGCATTTTATTGCTATAACTTTTGCTATACTTTTACTGGTAAAATAATCACAAGTGGGCCACTTCTGCTCTGTAAATTCACAACAACACCAAAGAATTTGCTTGATTTATTGCAGATTTTCTCTGGTGAAAGTGAGATCGAGGCATTTGGCCTCATTTCTGGAGAACCTTCTTTTCTAGGAATGTGCGTAATATGTTGCTTCTTATCCACAATCACATGATGTATAGCAGGAAAGATGTGGCATGTTGTTAGCGTGCTCTAATCTCATTCTGTTTATGAAGAACATGTAATTCCTCCCCCATCTCTGCCACCTTCTCCAATTCCTTGATCATCTCTGAATCCAGTTCAGAATTGCCTTCACAAAATGCCTTCTCAGAAATACACCAATTTGCACGTTTGCTGTCAGCCAACATCCCCCCTGTGTGACCTTCCATATGGCAGCAGGGTTACTGTAGGCATTCTGAGCAGCAGCTCTGCAATACCTCGCCATTTACGCCATGAATCATGTGCAGTTTATTTATTTATATTGTGCTTATTTCTGTTAGAGTTGAGTTCTCTTCACTGAATCTTTCCTCAGTAGTCACTCTACATTAATGAAACAATATCCAGAACTGGATAAAGACATGGTTTCTCTGTTACGAGTAGCACAGTTCAGCTTGAGTTCAGAATAATTTTATTGCACATGTTCTTACTAGTGAATTCCGGACAAGTAGTTGATTAGACTGTTATGCCTCATCAGTTTGGGCATGGCAGATGGGCTGCTGGAGTGACGGGTAAGAAAACATCAAAGCAGGGAGGTTTTATTTCAAACTATCACACTCACTAAACCTCTGCACTTTAAAAAACAAACAGCCTCCCCAATGTTTCTTTAAAGCAGTTGGAGCTCTGTTTTTAAGATTGCATCTGAAACAAAACCAGGACCCAAACCTAACCACGTATAAACAAAAAGCTTTTAAGGTGTTAATATTATTCCAGACATCTTGGAACTGTTCATCCACCGCTTAGGAGGAGGTGTATGCTGTTAATGAAATCACACTGGTTTCTGTTGAATGAATACTCCAATTCTGGATCATTTCTTTTGATTCAACCACTGGAATTATTTATATTACTGAAAAACTTCAGGAGGCAAAGTACTTTGATCTCTGCTTCACATATTTATATATAATGCAGTGGACAAAAAATATTCTCGACTATAATTTTTTCAGCTTTCTAACAATACATGTCTGTAGTTTATTATTTAGCAACAAACTAGTAAGGCAGCTGTTGAACAAAGTGAACTGCTCCAAGCAAAGCAAGAAAGCCAGTCATAATACAATTGCCTCCTGCAATCAGCAATGTGAACTTACCCTGCTGGGAAGAAGAACTGGTTAAGAAACCAGAGCAATTCAAAGATTATAAAGCCATCTAATCTTTTTTTCTTATCTAATACAGTCTGTTGAGCTTTTCTGAGTTAATTATTTTTCAAATTAGGATATAAATTAGAAAAACTTCATTCTTATTAAAATATTTCCATTTATAGGAACTCAATCACAACTTCTGATAAGTTGTTTTACCGGTTAATTTCCATTAAAACATACACATTATTTCTAACCTGTGTATGTCTAGATTCAACTTCCAGTCATTACATATTGTGTATAAAAGAACATAAATAATATGCCTAACATTTTTTATTGCAAATACTTCTCTTAACAACACTGATCAAACCATCTCTTGGAAGAACCTTCTCATTGTTAAGTTAAAGCATTGGAAGACCTTGAGCCCTTCAATATAAAGCAAGCTTTCCTTGAGTCATGCTGTCAGTGCTTCTATAGCCCCCTCCAATGTATCAATTTCCTTTCTAAACTATGAACACCAGAATCACACATACTGTTTTGCTAGCAATCACACTAGCACCTGATGTAGTGGTGACTTCATCTCCCTACTCTTACCTGAAATTATTCTGATTTATATGCAAAGACTTTGTTAACTCTTCTTGGGGAACTCATGCTCAGCTGATCATGATCCCAAGTAATTTTCCTGGTTTCTGATTCCCCAGACTGATCCCCTTCCCCTCTCCTGCAAGTTGAGGCTATGTTCATTGGTTGCAATGTACAATTTTACCGTGCCCATTATGAAAACACAGTGTTTGCTTCCAAGTGATCCAGATCATTCTCTCTGTCTTTCGCTATTTAATAGGATAGGCAGTTCAATTCTCCTACCTCTTTTCTGGAGCATAGTGGCCTCTTTTGCTTTATTAAGTATTAGGACATTACTTGGTCCTCAGGACAAAGATTTTCAAGCCCCTCATGACATTTGATGAGACTGAATGTACAAATCTTTTAAATACCTGGGTCAACATGTTCAAAATCGCCTGACACCCTAAAGCTCAGCAGTGAGGTGTTTCTAGGAGTAATGGTGGTGAGTGTGAGGTCTCCGGTCCTTTGGAGAAGTTAAGATGGCCAAAATTAAACTTTCTGGGGGGCAGCAAAGGGTTCTACTGTTTGGAGGAAGATGGAAGAGAGTAAGGGAAGCTACATTTTCTTCTGTGGCCCCTAATTTTAGAACCCCAGAATATTCCCTCCAGACTATTATTTGGGCTTTAAAGGTTAAACTACGTGAAGGGATTGTCTGAGGTGTGTTTCTCAACTATAACAAGGAGCAAAGTAGGAATAGGAGCTCTTAGTGAGGAGACCCTGTGATCCCTTTTGATGTCTTGCCTCTCAACTGTGTTTGGGTTCTTCATCACTCCAGTGAAGAAAGATTCAATTTAGATTATTTTATCTTATGCTTGGAAATTTTCCTTGGATCTGAGTCTGCAAACCTGCACTTACATTTTAGTTCTTCAAAACTAAGATCACAGTGAGAAGAAGAGATCTTTCTTTGTCTTCTCTTTTCTTTCTTCCATCCTCCTGGCTCTGTTAGGGTTCTTTAGGACCTGAAATTAATTCTCATTCAGTTTTGCTGCCCATATTACTTCAAACATTTAACAATTCCCATCTTCACACTTCTCAAACCTCCCTACTTACCTACAAAATATTTTCTGTTCCTTTACTCTTTCTGATGTGCTTTGGTAAGCTTTCCCTATTTCCATTCTGGCAGAGTGCCTTAAATAAGCAGAAGGAAACCACATTCTAGTGAACTTCCAGATGTCTGCATCTGGGAAGCTGTCTTTATGGGGCAAAGCCTGTGATGTACCAGTTTAGGAACTCCATAAGGCTGATATTTATTCTCACCATCTCTGCTCCTATTTCTCTATTCAAAGAAATCTTTCAAGAACTCTTGAATCTTCTTCTTAGCTATTACATGCATTTGCAGAAGAAATCAAGACGACTCATACTGCATTTGTCAAAATGTCACAGGAAGGAATCTAAACTGTGTTAGACTGAGGTATAAGTGGAAAAAAGGCTTGGGGCAACAGGCAGGGGGTAAGGAATGAGTTTTACTCTGCTAATACTGGCTGCATAAATGTTGGAGCTTTGCCACATAATTTTGATCTAATATGCTGCATTGCTTAGGGGGTCCATATGATTATTACATTTTCCTAGTGGAAGGATATATTTTTGTCCCCAACACAGCACGTTAAATAAAATGCATTTATTATCACATATAATAATAATAAAAAAAAAAATCAGTGTTGAATTGTCATGACTACCACAGAGCTAAAATGGAAACCATATTACTGTAAAATTATCAATCTCTCTTGCATCCTGGCAGAAGAATTCCTTATGTTCTTCAAAGATATTCCCTCGGAGCAATATGATGGTCTTCCATGTCACATCATGTCTTCTGGTACACAGATGCTGAGAACAAACTCTTTAGTTAGCAAAGGTTTTCTTTACCTTCAGGTACCAGTTAAGTTTGCCTTTAGTTCTCCTTAGCTCCTTGCAGCATGGAGAATGAGATTACTCTTATCAATAGCATAAATAATATTGGGCTCATACAGTGGTAGATGTAGTACTGTACTGTTACAAAGAGTCCTTTCAGCTGAGTAAGGGAAGAATGATCAAGCTTTGCTTTATAAAAAAGGTGCTGTGAATGTGTTAGAACATTGCAACTAGTTTCATCAGGGCTGTTTATTCATCTGATGCACTTGCTGGGATTTCAGTGCTGCATTTTTAGAAGTACTGAACAATGTAGATAAAAAAATTACATGGAATATGCACGTAAGGGAGGGTGAAAATGATAGATCCCCATCAAAGTCCACATTTCTTTGTCTTGACTGTATCTTTAGATTATATTGTATTGTACTTTAGGACTGTAATGCATACAGAGAGTCAGTATATCTGTATTTAAAACTCCACATTCATAAACTATACTTGGATTAGCACTTGAGCAATCAAGATCGGAATATAACACAAAAATATACATTTCCTTTACTTGTCTGAAAATTAAGATCTGTGATTAAGTCTATTCTAATAGACTTTTTCTTCCCTTTTCTTTTACACTAGATAATGTGTTTTTGTCAGGGACACTAATGAGCTATCAATCACTTGTGTAAGTCAGAAGAACAAAAGGTCTGCTCTTTACAAAGTTAAAGGATGCTGCTTCCAAATGTTAACTACTCAAAGGAGAAACATTCATATTCAAACTTTATCTGCATTGCTGCTTTCATGGCTGCTCACGCCTCTATAGATTTTAGTTTAATCTGTAACACACAAACACTTTAAAGTGGATGATTACTGAAGAGGGGCTTTAAAAACAGTCTCAGACCACATTTTACACAGTTCACGTATCACACAGGGGTTCTCAGAATCAATTATAGCAAGGGTCAAAGATCAGAACATTAGAGGCGTTTCAAGCATGGTTTCTATTCTACATTCTCTCCCCAGAAAAATCATGCTGTAGTTGATTAAAACTGGTGAACTGTGGAGCCTAGATGAGCAACTGAACATTTTTTAAATTGTTTTGCTGGCTTCTAAAATTACACATAGTAGGTGAGAAGGGTCAATGCAGATTCAGAAAGATACTTTGCAGCCGAATGATGAGACTTGTGAAGTGCTTAAGCCTTGTACCAAACAATGTTAAACTACCTAAATGTTTAACTTTTCTATAGTTTTTGGAAAGTGATCTTCAATAAAATCAATTATCAAAAGGAGGGTCTACTCATACTGAGATCAGTGGGGGGTTTTGCTGCTGACCTCTTTAGAGCAACCTTGATAAAAGTTCAGAAGCCTGTAATAATGCATACATATGTGTTGCATGTAGCTAATGCTTTAATTTAGTATTTGCCATGAGCAGATTTACAAGGGGACTTAGGGATGTGCAGCCCCTGCTCACTAGTACAGCCTGGTCTGGGTCACATCCCAAGCACACAAGCAGAGAAAGAAGCCAAAGCCATTTGCATCTTGGATGCATCTGATACTCTCTATAGCCTCTTATAATACCAGTTGTAGCTTTGATGTTTGCCGTGTACTGCCTTTCAGGACTACTACTGGGAGATACCATTGTCTCATGTTCTTAACTCTGTCATTCATTTGCTGCGTGACTCTGAGGAAACTATAATATAGCAGTTCTCAAACACAAATACCAACATTTAGGTACCTTGATAAATGACCCGATTTTGCATGGTCCTGTCAATTGATATCCTGCAGAAAGTGAGGTTGTATATTGGGTGATTTGCTATTAGTATCCAAGTTTGAATGTGAGGGCTGCACCTTCTGTGACTATGGCCCCATAATGATCAACCTCTTTCATAAAACGTTATGGGAGTCAGGAGGAGAAAGGAAATATGCAATATGCTTTATTGTGAAGATTTATATCTTTATTCTGGATAACATGGAAGTTTGCATGTGGACAAAGCCTTTTCTGAGGATTCATTTAAGTAATATCTTCTATTCTCCATTTGTTTGCTGATGTATTCTGTCTTCCTTTTGCAAGTTGCCTCTGCAGGTTGGTCAGTCATGAGCAGATAACAGGTGATTTTTGCATACACTGACAGAAGTGATCTTTCTCAGGTGACTGTTTCAATGACAGCCTTCCTAATTATACTGTGTGCTCCACTTAATCACAAAGGCTCCTCAGCAAATGTTTATGAAGGAGGCCTTCAAAACGCAGATTTACCCATACAGTAATATGTTACTGCCCTGTAATTCTCTTTTAATCTCTAGTGATGTCACTTGTCGTCAGATTTTGAGTGAACTGAGAGAGGTCAATTTATTGGATTATTCCTCTGTGCGGGGTTTTGCAGTGTGCTTTGGGACTCTTAGCTACAGATTATGACAAGCTAAGTGAAGAAAACAATTCTGTAATTTGCAGTCATTGCACATTTAAAATCCTATTTCAGATCTAGACAGAGACCTTGCCTTCTAGCATTTTGTAAGAGAAGTGGGACATTTGCAAGCTGATGAGAAGGTTCGAAAAACCTGCATCTTCTCATTAGATTTATTTGAATTGCAGTTTGGTAATGTTGACATTTTTTCAGTTGCTCTGGTGAAACTTCACCACCAAATAGCTAGCATTGCTCGCTCTATTAGGAAGTTCTGCTCCTTTGGGTCATGGAAATCTTTAAACTCTGCTTGTTCTGACAGGAGCTATCACTTCTTTCCAATCTAGAATTAGAACCGTAGACACTAAACTGCTTCATCCTACCCCTGAATACAAGGATTTAAGTGTGAAGGATAGAGGAGTAACAGCCTTTTTATTTGGATCTTCCCCTGAGCTTGGGCCCAGCTGTACATTAGATGTTTCTGTGAGTAACTACAAGAAAAGGAGCGCAGCAAGTTTGAACATGTTCCTCTTTGCTTTGTTTAACAATGTTTAGTGGGGTTTTATCAACAACGCTAGTGATTTACAATAAGATAGGGAAATACATTTTACATAAGTCCACATTTAAACCATGTACATAACCATGACGATCAAAGCCATTTATTTATGTGCTTCACTATGGAATTAGGTTGCTAATCACGTGAATGGGCATAAGGTATAAAATCTAAGTGCTAAAAAATGCAGCTTATTGCTGAAACAGGTCAGAGGCCACATAACCTAAGCTGGGTCTTCAAGGAGAGGATGCCTGGCTGTTTGAGAAGTGCCCAGTGGCTACATGGTATTCCAGAGTAATTGTAATTGGGCTTTGCATGAATTTGATCTCTTTACGATCTGGATTTAAAGATATGATTATATTAAATTATAGTGGTTTTCCAGACTGTGAGACTGGTGTGTTGCAGAGAATGACGATCCTTGTATATAGCAACTGATTAAGACTACCATGTATTTGGGTTTCCCAGGTATGTCCATGTTTTCTGCACTTAATTTTTATCCTGACAGAGCAATTTTAATGCAGTCCTTTGCCTGAGATTTTCAAGAGTCCAGAAGTCCAGCTAGAGCTGGATTTTGGAAGTACAAAATGAACAGCCATTGCGCTTTGTCACAAGCATGTCCAGTTGTGACTCTGGAGTGCACAACAATCAGCCTGTGTGTACACACAGTGGACTTGCTGCATCTGCAATGCATTCTGGATGCACCCATACTATTGAGCTATCCCAGAAAGTTACTGTTTCTTTTTCATTCCTCCACCAATTTTTATCTTTATTTTCATACTCCCTCCTGTGGGTCTTGCAAGGAAGCTGCCAATCAGACTACACTGATGTCTTAGGAGCAAGCTCTGCCCAGGAGCACAGTCTCAGAACAGGACACTAGAATTTCAGACACTCAAACCTACAGTGGCACTGTAGGACAGACTGGCAGTATGGATCACATCTGTTTCAATCTACTCTTCCCGCAGTGTTCCCTCTCAATACAACTGCTGACCTGTTATGAGAATAACTGCTGTTGCACAGGCTGAGAGGAAGGAGTTTGTCTCTTAATTTCCCTGAAAGAACAGACATAAATTTACAAGGGAGGTTACAAGGGTTTTGGCAAACTGCTGCTGCAGCCTTTCTCATTAGAACTAGCTGATGTGGAACCCACTTACACGACAAGCTGTGGCTGCATAGCTGTGCAGCTCCAACTGTCAGACTGGGGCCGTGCCAGCTCTTGAAGAACACTACGCAAAGACTGTTTGACTATTATTTATGATTTGTGTTGAAATAGCAGCAGGGGACCCAAACTTCACTGTGCTTAGCAGTGCCTGAATGTACCATAGAAAGACAATCACTGTCACAGTGACCTTCCAGTCTCCACAGACAACCTCAAGCCCTGGATGGTCTTGACTCCGACTTGCTTTCTCTGGCAAACCTCCTGCCGAAATAATTTCACCTTTGTGTATAATTTTGGAAATGTTGAAGGAAGCCATAGTAAGGGTATTGGCAGGTGGTGCTGTGGGCAATAGAGAACTATCTGCATCCTTTAATGTTCATTTTTGGACATTTTCATGTATAAGCTAAAAAGGTCTATAAAGATTGATATGATAAGCTCTTCATATGCACAAAAACAAAGCCTATATCTCCAAAATACTATCAGACTTTTCTCCTCAATAAAGTGAACAAAATATAAGCCAGAGTCAATTTTAAAGCCAAGATCTTTCAAAGAGATGTTGGTTAAAACAGGTGTAGAAAGCATTAAAACAAATGAAGTCCAGCTGAATTTTCATAACACACTGGGGTAGGTCTTAATTATATTTTTCAGTGAGACCTGGGCAGTTCTTACAGCCAAACATCCCACCTCACAACTTGTTAGTGGTGAGCTCCAAACTGTCAGCATAGCAGAACATGAAGTTTTTTGCAGTCAGTATTTCCTCACTCTTGCATCCATTATTTCCTTCATGTTTAGTTTCTTGCCTAGATTTTAGCCTGCCAGACGTGAAATTACAAACGAACACTTCTGAGTTTAGGCGGCTTTCTCAGACAGTGCCACAATCACTGTCCTGTCTAAATGTCCTGATAATCAGTACTGCAATATTGCAGTGGTAGAATTGCCTTTTAAGTGCAGAACCACAGAGCAATTTAAAAAATGCAGGCTTTCAGATGCATCTCTGAAACTCTGTTTCAGTCAATGGTATAACATCATGTAACAGCAGCTCTAAGTATCTGGAAAATCAAGGTACTCTGAGGTACTGAATCTGGTATAAGAAATGGGACATAGTCTGTAGTAAGTCAGTGACTTTCAGATGTGTAGTGATCAAACGTTTGTGAGCTCTCATAGATGTTTAGTCATGTGAAATGAGTTTGATCTCCACTACTTCTTTCTCGATTATGTGCCCTCATTTCAGACCCTTATCATAGTTAACAAATTAATTGGTTAAGGTCACAGTATCCTGAAAGAAGGTTGAGATTGACACTGCCCATGTTACAGCTTGGGAGAGAGGTTTTGGTATCCTAGCATGGTGTGTCAACATCTTGCAGCAGCATTATGTTTACAGGTTATAGGAATATATTCTCCTGGTCTTCAGCATTGCTCCACCGACTTCATTTGAACTACTCTGATTTATACCTGCATATATCAAAGAATACCTTTTGAACATACCGTCTGAATTCCACCCTCAGCATTTCCAGTTCAAAGTGCTGCAACTGTTTCTAAATATAACGACAGTACATTCCAAATTCTCTTTCTTTTCTCATGTTTATTTATAAATGCATGCCAAGAAACCATAGAAAAAGGGAATTTCTGCATCATTTATCATTCTGACAAAATTCAGCATGCCTTGGAAAAAAGGTCATTTACATTGCATTCCTCTTCCAAAATTACTCCTGTCTTTACTCTCATCTGTCAAAAGACATAAGAAAATATAATTCTGCTGTAGAACTAGCTAGTATGGTAAAAATAACATTAAAAATGGTGTTAAATGTTTGCTGGTTCCATCTCTTCTGATTGATTTCTATTTCTTTTCCAGACCTTTGGTGCTGATGATGTTGTGTGCACAAGAATTTATGTAAGAGAGTAAAAACATCAGTTTACTTGTCATCTGGGATGAAGTGGAGAACTGTGAAAATCCCCAGTATAATGAGTATCTGTGTGTGCTGTTACTAATGCAGTGTTGTATGTGACCGTGTGTGTTATATCTGAACCCATATCCTCTGTTAAGTGTATTTTGCTTTCATTTTTCATCGCAGACACTATTCCTTCCCACTTTTATGCCATCATTTTTAGTGTCTGCTTTGTATTTTGTAGTTGTCACTTGCTATGGTTTCATCAATTATTAAACTTATTGGGCATAACTCACAGCTGGTTTGGGGTGTTTTTAATAGAAAACCCAGCAGTGCTTTGGTTAGGACTGAAACTTTTTACCCTCTATTGAAGTCAGTGTGGAGTTTCACTGCTGTTGGCTAGCACTATGCTGTCAGGGAACACCTCCTAGGGCAACACAAAGTGCAAGAGAGCAAGTGAATTGCAAGGCCTTTCGCGGAGCTGCAGGCTGCTTCCAAACCCAGAGATCTGCTTCTTTCCTTCTTTCTACCCTGCCTCCTTGGAAGAGTTGTTGAGGAACAATTCCTGTATCCTGTGTTTGCTGGGACTGTGATTCAGCAGAACTAGACAAGACAAGGAGAGATCTTTACTCTTTCCTGCTGCGTCTCTGAAGAATGCCCAAACTTTCCCTGTTGAGACACTCATTATCCAAGTACAAAACCCAGCTGTATCTATAGGACAAATAACATTGTGATCATGACTAACACTTATTGTCATCACACCCAAGCACCTCAGGCCTGATCAGAGCCAGCAGAATCTCACAGACTTTCCTTGTTTTGGCCATAAAAAGATAAAGCTGAGGAAAGCTGCTTTTCTCCTACCTTCTTACCTGCGACAGCGAGAACTTCCGATGGCTTCACTTCCCCTCAGTGTTATAGCTCTGACTTTTGGTGACTCAATATTTCATTCTTTGAACAACTAAGTATTTCACAAGCCAAGGCCATAGTTCAAGAATGAAAGAAACACCAAATTTAATGTACTTATTCTGGCTCAGAGTTCTGGCCACAGCACTATCAAGTATTAGATTCAAGCTGAACGGACATTCCTCTACTGAACCAGAAACTCTTCTGTTCTTCAGCCTGAGAAATATCTGGAGACTAGGAGCACTACTTACTTCAGTGCAATATCCAAGCTTATCTGACCAATTTTCAGCTTTGCAGGAATAATTTATCTGGTTCATGTCACTCAGTCATAGAGGATTTTTAAGTGGTTCAGTGTTAGCAGAGTGTATGTCCTGTTCACTGGACTGTGCTCCATATTCAGAATGGGAAAATAGGTCAAAATCTTTATCATCTTGGGACATCCATGGGAAACAAATTACTTTGTCTCTTCATCACTCATGTAGCTATGCAGAGGAATCCCCTTTGATAGAACTGTCAAACTGCTCTGCAGAAATCAGCCACCTGTTCTATATATTGCAGCGTGAGCTACAGCAGCACAACAGGGGAGGAACATACGGTGTTTTCTGTCTCCTCTTCTCTGACAAGTCACACTTTCTTTCTCTGCCATCAGCACTCAAGAGACAATATTGCAGCTGAAAAGGGGGATCTTTTCCTTCCACACCCTAACCTTAAGCCAAACCCTGTTTCCAAGGCCTTGGTTCAATTGGTACCAATTAAATACACTGCATGTTAGCTCACACTGAAGTATGGGCTGAAATTAGTTCATTGTGGTTTAGATGCAGCTGAAGCTACCCCCCAGTAAGAATGAAACCATGAGAGGGAATGACAGTGATCTATCTTTATTTTCTATCTTCTTCTAAGATGAAAATTAAAATACTTGGGTGTTTTTTTCCAAACAAATCCCATTTCAGGAGTATCTGGACCTGCTTGTGCAATCTGCTGTGCCAAAGGGACTCCATAAAAAGTGCCAGGCTGAGCTAGCTCAAAGCTTCTCAGTGATGCAGACAAAACTGTGTCTTGCCACATCAAGGCTGAGAAGTAAATAGCACTGTGTTGCAGGACATGCTGGCACATGCCATGTCCTACAGCAACAGGAGCCCACCAACAGTGCAGAGTGCTTTGCCTCCACCTCCCAGAAGGTGGGTGGTGGATGTGAGGTTGGTACAAGCTGCTAAGGCAAGTGGTAGAGCCAAAGCCAGTAGGCAGCAAGGCTGTTGTGCTGTTCCAGAAAAATCCTACTCTTAGCATTTACCTTTTCTACCTGTATCTAAAGCAGCCCTGATGCACAGTTTGTGAGGGTTCAGCAAAGTATTCATATGAACCTCACATTGTCTAGTGCAAGTGAGTGCATTTAATGGAAGCAGTGATTTCTATGTTTCATTTCTATGAAGGCTCATGCTAAGCTGTTGTGCTGCTTAAGCAAATATCCTTCGGAAAGCTTTCCCATCAACTGGAAAATACCAAGCCAGGTTTCCATCCAGTTGGCCACTACTATGCAAGTAGTAAAGTATGAGCTGTGTTACTGGGTTGTAGAGGTTATGATTAAAAACAGGCTCCTGAGATATGAGCTACCCTGCACAACTGGGAACTTTCTTCTTCCAGGACTGAAACTGTTCCCCTAAGCTTCATTTGCAGTCTGGCATGGCAGAAGTTCCTTTCTTTAGTAATTTCAGCATGGAAGCTTCACCACTTGATTGACTTTCATGGAGTTATGTTAGAGTTACTGGTGCATGGGTACATTCACATGAACAGAGACTAGAATTGGTCCAGGGTGTTAGTTTTATGGCTCATTGTTGAAACAGTGGAAAGGCCAAATTGCATTTTGTCAGTCCTCCTGGATTTAAAAGCTCTTCAAATCTAGGCACACAAGGATTTGGAATGATTTTACTGGCCAAAAGCCTTGCAGTTGTCTCCTGCCTTTCTTTTCTTTGCTGAGATTAAGCTCCTTTGGGAACATGGAAGTTGAACAATGCCAGGGTGGCCCACAGAGACCATTTTATCCACCTTTTGTGTAAAAAATCATGAATTCACCCCTCCGCAGATGAGGTGATGGAAGCAGAGTAAAGTTACTGTAGCTTACATCCACAAAAGCTTAGTTTCACAATGTCTGAGTGTTGAACAGCTGCTTAGCAGAATAGGATCCTGAAAGCTTGAGGCGGCCACTCTCTGCACATAGGTGGGAGGGACTTTTATAGGTAAAGGTGCCAGGACAATGGAGCACCTAAGGGTTACAGAAATGGTTTGTTGATTACTTGATAGCATGTGGGTATCTGAAAAGGGCACCAGGAATTTTATGGATATTGCCTTCCCGATTCAAATCAAAGAGACACTCTCTGCATCACTAGGTCTTTTAATCAGGCCTGATGGAACAAGCAGTGGGGCCAGGGACAGAGCCTGGCTCACAGTTATGTGTTATCAGTGAGCAAGCAGAAACTTCCTTCCCCTCATGCTGCTATATTCTAATTAGCATTTTGCCACTTGACCTGGAAGCACATGGTGGTTACAAGCATAGAATGGTGACAAACACAGGTCACCTCTGTATAGATGGCAGCTGATTGACCTCTGTGTGCATAACCACCCACTGCAGGTCTGCTGTCTTGCAAGTCTCTGTGCCCAAGAAGCTAAACTTCTGAGGTCTGCCCGTGCTCAGTGGTGATGGCCAAATGACTTTCAGGCTTTGTTGCTAAGAACTTTCTGACCATCTAAGTGAATGCATTGGGGAACTCTTCCCTGTGAGTATATTACATACTACTATCTGCGTTTCAGAGTATTTCTCCACACAAGGCCAGCAGAATACAGATAGCTCAGAAGGTGAGAAGCCTTCCTACCTGAAACCTAAAGGCTTTGTCTTGCAGTTGCCTAAACAGTCCTGCTGGTTGAATGGATACAGTACAAGTGAACATTCAGTTGCCTAAACATAGGTGTCTACAGCTATTTTAGATGTCCTGTGTATCCAAGAGATCTGCACAAAGCTAGCATATAACACAGGCTCTGCATGAAATCTGTGCCTTTATTTGAAGAGGCAGCAGCAGACCAGAGACAAAACCTGAGGGCATTGCAACATAGATGGCTGTGATTAGGCAATTGAACTCCCAACCTAGTGCCTGCAGGCTTGGGACCATGCTGTGCACTGCATTGACCACACTGCTAACGAACTGCTACAGCAAGACAAAGAAAGATATCTGCAGCAACTTGGCACATGTGTAACATTTCACAAAACCAAAACTTCCCCACATGAGTGGAACACTAGGATACAGCACCCATATTCTCTGCCTTAGGGCAAAAAGAGTTCATTTTAGGATTTTGCTTTGATTTTCCAGACTTTGTTCTTATGCTGCTTTCATAAAACATTTATTGTTTTTCTTTTCTCCAGGAAAAACAAACATCCTAACTGGTAAACAGATCAGGCAGTGAAGCTGGATTCAAAATAATCCACTGTGGGAAACCCAAAATATGAAAAAAAATCTCACCCAGAAATGTGATATTGCATTGAATTGTTCAGTTCACACATATCTGTATCACCAGCTGCTATTGTGCGGGAGCAAGGCTGTATGCCCTGGAAAGCAAGCGCTGCTTTAGCTCAAGTGGTCACTTTTTGCACTCCGAGTGCAGAGAGATCTGTTTCTGCTGACAGGAAGCTCCAAATCCCACATGGCTGCAGAATCCAGAGTCTTTGAATCCTCTTAAAATATGTGCTGTCTGAATACTGCCATGTCAGAAGTGGAACAACCTAAGGTGTTCTTTTTGGTATTACAGAAGACGGGCTGGCTGGCTAAGAAGGGTGGTGAAAAAAAAGCTGTTTTTAATAATGGAGGAATAGGTGGGAATAGATATCATAGTGCTTTCTGCTAATTTCTTCATTTTCAACATTCCCTGCATTGCCTCCCAGAACACTAGGCCAGTTTCAATTAGAAGTGAAAAAACCCCAGGTTTCTTGAAATTTTAGTTCACTTTTACCTCACTCTTGCTGCACTCTGCTAAATCTGAAACCAGGGATTTTGTCTTGTGTCTCTCATTCTGGTTCCATTTGATGGAACCATCCAGTGATGCTCCGCGACATGATCTATGGCACGCA